TACACACACACACACACACACACTCACACAGAGGCTGGAAAAGGGCGAGTGTGGGCGACTAAAATTATGCAACATAATATCATTGTTACATTGATTAATGATTTGCAAAATCATAAAAGCTCCCCCAGCAAAGGTTTCCTATTACAAAAACAGCCAACTCATCTGCAAAACGTCTTAATTATAACAAAACAAAATGTCGAGGCACATGAAATGTTGTCGTCGCTTCAATTGTCATACAGCAGAAGTAAAGGGGGGACCGAAGTGGTGGGCAGGAAGTGCGAAATGTGAAGCGGCCATTATTATGCTAATTAATTGACATCAAAGAACACAACAAAGACGACAGCGGCGGGGCACAGCAGAGCGTAGGCGCCGTCTTTGTTAAATGTGCCCAATGTTTCGAAATCAATGAGAGTCGACAATAGATAACATCATGATTCAATGTAGATGCCTGAGATAGGGGGCTACATAGGTAGATGGAGAGAGGTACTTATATTATATTATAAAGAGCGAGCAGCTTGTAAGCCGATTTCAATGGAAATGCAAATTGAAGTGCGTTGCCAATTATTTTGTTATTTACGATTATTTTTGCTTTTTATCGTTGCTGTTTCTGTTGTTGTTGTTACTCTTGTTTATCACAAAAGCATATAAAACATAATATGATAATAATGAGCAGTGCGCCTCGCATAACAAAAGCCAAATGGCAAAGTGCACAGCGGCGAGCAGGGCAGTGGGGTGGCAACTATGGCACACACAGAGAGAGAGAGAGAGAGAGAGAGAGAGACAGGTAAAAATAAGGAAAGGTTGGCAACGCCCCAACGTCAACGTCAAGTGACAAGGCACAAAATAATGGCCTGTAATAGGATTTTCCGCTCGCTGTAGCCGGCGCTGGCGGGAAACGGAAAAGCCGCCAATAAATATGCAATGCCACTCACTCACTCACTCTTTGATTCCAATTATTTTCAGGGTGCATCCTCCAGCCTGGTTGTCAAATACGCCGACACGGAGAAGGAGCGACAAATAAGACGCATGCAGCAAATGGCCGGTCATATGAACCTATTGAATCCGTTTGTCTTTAATCAATTTGGACCGTACGGCGCCTACGCGCAGGTAAGTACCCAGCTCCCTCCTACCCGCCAACAGTCCGTGCAACACGCCTCATAACGCCCCTTTGTGTTTCCCAAAAAAAAAAAACAGCAACAACAGCAGGCGGCTCTGATGGCCGCCGCGGCAACAGCACCGGGCTCGGCAGCTGCCTATATGAATCCAATGGCTGCATTGGCAACGCAAATACCTCATGGCCTCAATGGCACCGGCCAGCCGCCGTCGCTGCCCTCGCCAACGATGCCCAACTTCAATATGGGCGCCAATACGCCCAATGGCCAGCCGGGTGGGGCTGCAGCCGCCGCTGCTGCCGCTTCAGTTGCGGATGGTGTCTTCACGAATGGCATTCCACAAACGGCATTCCCACGTAAGTAGCCCCACAAGTCTAGCTATCCCATATTGTTTGTGCCAACATAGGGATACATCCATTGAAAGTGAGAAGCCAATGATTTATTGTTTATCTAATTTCTTTATTTTGCATACATTTATTTAACAATTTCAGTTAACACCTATCAAGGTTAACCAAATTATGTCTTACACTCTATTATTCCATCTAGATCCGCTGCATCTGACCATACCACCACAAGGTTTGCCAAATGGCGATGCTGCTGCACTGCAACATGCCTTCCCTGGTCTGCCGCCATTTCCAGGAGTTGGTAAGTTCCCGAACTCGGGGTTAGCCATAGTCTGTATTATGCCTTATGCAATAGCCTAAGATAACTACGTATATAATTGTGCCCAAAACAAAGGGAAATTTAAATAGATAGTACAAGTTCCATACGCACCAAATGTCAATTATTTCAAAAATTGTTATGTCATCATTTGCCCATTTGCCCTCTCTCGTGCATTATCTAGTCATTTTATTTCATACATCACCTGTCAGGTTCTCTCATAATTAGCGCCAAGATCTGTATTATCATCGTCATAAGCACAATGCCGCTATACGGCAGGCGATTCACATAACAAAAAAGAAGGAATTCAACAACAACAGACAGCATAAACAGTTCAATCATTTATAATTGTTTTTATTGAAATAATTAATAATTGTTGTGTCATGCCATAAATATATATTGTTAGTAAAGTGTTATATATAACTCTAACTTCTATATATACATAAATATTTTATTTGTTCCAAAAGAAATACAGAATTCGTTTTAAGTGTAGTTTACCATATATCGCTCTTCTATGCGCTTCTCAAACAAAGTGAACCCAAAATCACATTCTTGCCACACTTAAAAACAGTTCTATATTTCTTTATATGGGTTTTATTGTTTAAAATCGTTCTCATAGTTTGTTCTAATTATTTGTTGAATACTTTCAGATCTTCTTATATCAAAATTTGTTGTTCAATGTTAAACGTTTAACAATTCTTTGCGAATACACGATATAAAATTCGTTTATTATGTTTTCTTGTTTTTTTTTTTCATAGCGATGTTTATACGAACTTTGAGTCTACCTAAATTCGTATTAACATGCCATACGTAAAGTCTATATTTAAAACTTTATGTACCTCACTCATGAAATCCAGTTGCCCACTTTGGCTGGTATATCGAAATTTTCCGATGTTGTTTTTGACTGAAAGATATATACTGGTCGGATCTGGTTGTAGCCTGTCATCTTTGATTGTAAACTTATTATCGTTTCTTGTTCTGTTTATACCTGGTTTAACTTGAAACCAAAGAAATCTTAATTAATTTAACATAAATTATATACGTATACTTAACTGTTGTGTTGTCTTTATAAATGTTTCGGATTTTGTGTAAAAACCAAAAACAAAAATTATTTATATATAACGCAGCCTTTCCCGCCGTCTATGGACAGTTTCCACAAGCTTTACCACCTCCCCTAGCGGCGGTTGCACCCACTCAGCGTGAAGGTAAGCTTTTCATTATCATTTTGTCGGTTGTTCTCTTTTTAGTTCCGTTTCTAACTCTTTGTTAGTTTTTCTTTTTGTATCTCAATATTGTGTTTGACTTTTGGCTTGAAACGAATAACTCAAGTAAAGAATTTCGTTACTCGTCATAAATAAATGTTTTGATTTGTATAAAAATAAAATAACCATTCAGATACACACACACACACACCCAAACACGTACTCTATAGACAAATATATATTGAATATCGTAAGCATTTCGATGGGTCGATAAAGCCAATTTAATAAAATAATTAAATTTTCTTTTAGCGAACGTATTTGACTAAAATGCCCATAAAAATTAATTACTTGTGTTCTTTTTATTTGGAATTCTTTCTTATATTTTGACGCACCGAAGTAGGGCAAAATCGCGAACTCCTTTCGAAAGGGTTGCAGAACCAGGGGCGTAAATCGTTTTTAATGGCTGCATTTAAAGGCATTTTATATGAGATCGTAAAAATTGCATATAAACTGCTTAAAATCACATAAAAAGCGTCGGCGTATATTCAAGATATTTGCCTGAAAAGCGCGGGGGTCGGGTGGCCGAGGGCTGGGTCCGACACATGAAAAATCATAAAATTTTATGTTACTTTGTTTCGCCTGGTTTTTTTATTATTTTCCTACTCAGTTCTTTTGTCTTTCTTAAACTATGTAACGTTGACGAGACAAGATACAAGCACACCATTAATAATGCGTACATATATAATGTCTATATATACTTATCTGAATTATAGTCAGCTATATAGCTGTACCACTCTCTCTCTCTCTTTATATATATATATATATATATACATATATCTTTTTGTATGTATGTGAGTGTGCGTGTGTGTGTGTGTGTGCCTGTGTACTACATTCTTAAATGTGTATACTGTCTATAACTAACCCTTACTTGTCTGTAAACCTGTGTTTCATTTTCAATATTTGTTGCGCGTAGTAAATTGTTAATTGTATTTTTAATATATTTACTTAGTTCTTATCCTGCATGACACACACATGAAACTCGGCTATGCTGAACTCATATCATACTATTCTTGTATAGGGATATTCGCAAATGGGGCTTTAAAAAAAATTATATAAAATACATGAGAATAAACAAATTGAATTTAATATCATAAGCTAAACTCTTAAGTATTTTATTGCTAGAATTATAGAACTGGTAGCGCATTAAGCATTTTAGAATACGAATATGTCTACATTTATATTTTAGCCTATGCAAGCGTATTTTGTTACTGTTCGTTTGTTTATCTTTTATGTAAGAATATATTTTATCATATTGTTTGCCATTTGGTTTTGCAGTTTTATGAAACGCATTAGCTTTAGTTAAATCGTCTACAAAATCAGCCACGAAACACGAGACACAATTAAAAAAAAAAAACGGAATATAAACTCAAAACCAGCCAAATACAGCAGACAAACTCATAATGTTCTAACTTATGATTTTGCTCATCGTTTAATTTCTTTTCTCTACTTTATTTCTTTTCTTGTAATGTCTTCTTTTAAGATTTTCTGATGTTCCCAGGATGTTCTATATCCGGTCCGGAGGGCTGCAATCTATTCATCTATCATTTGCCGCAAGAATTTGGTGATGCAGAATTAATGCAAATGTTCCTGCCATTTGGCAATGTGATCAGCTCTAAGGTCTTCATCGATCGTGCTACAAATCAGAGCAAATGTTTCGGTAATTCCAAATATGCCCACATATATATCCATTACTTCAAGTTCGATTGCTAACATTCAATTTTGGAAATTCGTAGGTTTTGTTTCATTTGATAACCCCACCAGCGCTCAAGCAGCCATTCAGGCCATGAATGGCTTCCAGATTGGCATGAAAAGACTGAAAGTTCAATTGAAGCGGCCAAAGGATGCCAGTCGACCTTATTAACAATCGGAGTTCCTCAAGCGTAACTTACTTCAGCAACAACAACAACAACAGCAGCAAATACTGCAACAACAACAACTGCAATATCAACAACAACAACAACTGCATATGCAACAACAACAACTGCAACAACAACATCTGCAACAACAACATCTGCAACAACAACAACAACTGCAACTTCAGTTTCAGCTGCAGCAACAACAACAACATCATCATGCGACAGCAGCAATGACAACAAATTCACCAGCTACAGCTACAACAACATCTACAAACAACCTCAGCAACAATTTTCGGCCACAATTAACCAATGATCGTAATGCAAATCGTAATACAATGCCCTATACTTTTGCCAGCTGGCGCAACGGAACCTATTGTTATCGCTATAGCGCCAACAGCAGCGGCAATAGCAACAATAGCAACATCATCAACAACAACCACAACAATAACCACAGCAACAACAACATCAGCATGAACAACAATAGCAACAGCAACAACAACAACAACAACAGCAGCGACAAGAATTCGTTCTCTAATGAAAATAATAACTATTCCAAAGTTGAACTGGTCGAAAGGCTTTTCATGTGGCAACAACAAAAACGAAAAGCTTAGCAACAACAAAAACAACCACAACAACAACAACATGGATCAACTTTTTATAGGGTGAGCTTAAAGCACACACGACCTTCACATTTCATTTTTCATTTATAAATACATTTCTATTTATTTGTATTATAATTAATTCAATCAGAATCTTGTTAGATGTAATGCCAAGAGTATGACACTACATGGTTTCCCATTGTTTTTTTCGTAGGTTTCTTAACAAATTGCTAGAACTAAAATTTTAACTTTTCACATTTCAGATGGACTTGGGTAATGAATTTCCTCCACATGCTTAGTGAAGCAAAGCCCCAGCAAAAAATAATTATAAAGATATACAAACATGCATATGGAGAGTAAAAAAAAAAACGAAAAAATAGCAAACAGAAAATGTAAGAAAAAGTAAGTCAGTGCAGAACAAAATTATTTATTAATATGATAGATATTTATGTATATGTATAAATACATATGTATATATATATATATATATATATATATATATATATATATATATATATATATATATATGTATATGTATTTATACAGGCAGCTGAATGCAGTAATTAAATAGTAGAAAAGAAAAACAGAAAACAATTTTTTGCCAAAATGACGATTATATGTATACATATGTACATAAATATATATCGACATGCATATATATATTTATAGAGCAAGCAACAAACATTGATATTGATAGTTTTGTTAATTACAAAAGAGCAAACAACAACTGCACACTTACACACACACACACCCCCAAACACACAACAAACTTGAGACAAAAACTGACTGGTAAGAGACCAAAATTATCTGGGTTTTCAATAAAAACAAAAAAAATATTTGAAATAATAATCTAAAACGAAACAAAAAGCGCAGCAACCATTTTTTATACAACATATGAAAATTGGTCGATGGAATTTATTGAAATCTAAAAAACCTGAGAGAAAATAATTTCACACGCTGCTAAAAAATTAAAAAAAAAAAAACAAGAAAAATACAAAAAAAAAAAAACTGAATCTGTTAATTGGAGAATGACAAAAAACCTTTGCATATGAGTTGGCAGTTAGAGGAGAAGTTAATGATAGAGCGTAGCAGAATGATGAATGATATGTAGCTCTGCAACTTTTTAGCATGTAGTACTAAGAAAAATGGCAAAGGATTATATTATACATAAACGTATATAGCATATGTATATACATATACATATGTATATGAATAAAAATTAACACAAAAATTCGAATTTAATTAATTTTAAGGACATAAAAGTTAGCACTAGGTGAAAGCAGCAAGCAAATTAATATGCGATATGCTTTGAGAGAAGTACTGTTAAGTCCAAATTAAAGAACCACAAAAGGTTTTTGCGTAGCCTGCAACAAACAAGCAAAAATATCATTTTTTATTATATGTAAATGGAGAAAAATAATAATTTAAATATAATAATGAACTTGTTAGAACTACATATTAAAAAGAAGAAGAATACCTAAAAAATAATTGTGAGCAAATTAAATGCTGTCATTTTTGTTGCCCAAAATCCAATGCATGTTGGCAAATAATTTTCAATTTCTAAGAAAACACTTTCAGTTAGGCAAAAGCAACTAGAAAACAAAAATCGTAAACGATTTTATAGCATTAAAATATATTACAAATATGAAATCAAACAAACTTTACACTTAAACTTAGCTGCTTGCAACAAAAACAAATACAGGTACTTACAAATATACAACAAATACATATATATATATATGTATACATATATATTTGTATAAATATATAAAAAAATAATGTTGAAAACAGGTGTATAAAAATATATATGCATATATATTTATATACACTCATGTATATATGAGCAAACATTTGCTAGGGTACATATGTATATATATATATATGTGTGTATATACAACAGACAACTGAAAATGTTGGCCACTTATTTTCACAAGCTCCGATTCACCCTGACAAACTAAAACTAACTAACAAGAATAATGTTGACCATAGCGCGCCCTTTCCCTGTTAAAAGACGCTAACTCATGAACAAACCACAAAATTGACACATTATAAAACAATTACCAAATAACTCTTAAATGCATAAACTATTATTGATGATGATATATACACACACATATATATGAACTAAATTTAGAATTTTTTATATAAAAAGAAAAGTAAAAAATTTTTAGCAAAACTAGAAAATTGAACACTGAAATTTGTATATTTAATAATTTATGCCTTTTATTTAACACACTACTGAACACTATTTCTATTCACACACAAACACACACACACAGACAAGCATGCAAGCAAATCTAACTTAATACATAAGTCACATGCTACAAAAAATGCTAAAAAATCCAACATTTACTCAACTGAAATCTGTTGAACCAACTCATTAAACATTTTGACTTTATCTTGAAAAGTTAGCAGAAAACAAGAAGAAATATCTGTACAAAATAAAGTGAAAGATTGTCAAATCTACAGCTAAAAATGCCAAAAATGAACATAAGAGAGAAGTAAAAATTAAAAAAAAAATAATAATTAAAATGTAACAATTATTTAGAGTTTGTATAGTGTAAAAGAAAAAAAGTACGTTTAGCGCCTAGTCTGTGGGTTTGCAACACAACTCGCGACACATATTTGATACTAATGATAAAAACAATTAATTATTAAATAATAAATATATATAAATATATATATATATATATATACATATATATATTAAAATATAAAAGAGGATTTAAGCATACAACAAATTGTTATAAAAGTTAAAGTTAGTTTTGTTACCAGTGCAATATATACTTTTTGTGCAAATACTTTTCTTTACCTTTGAGTTCCAAATATCAATATCAATAGTTTTGGTTTTTGGCATTTCCCTCTAGCCATGCCCTTAAAAAAAATACACAAGAAAATAAAAACATTGCCAGTTAGCCGGAAAGATATGGACAGTATTAAATACCTTGCGGTTTGGCCAAGAGAGTTCTATTGTTTGGCCCCATACATAAAAGTTAATGCTAATGGTGCCTAGCCTAACTACTCTCGAAATCATTTTTCTTTGCAACCGTCGTTTCAAAACAGATAATATATAGTAAAGAAAACAAACTACTGTAGTCAATAATTTTCTAAAAGTATTCAGTTTTCATCACATTGTTTTACCAAAAGTTACGCCTAATATCTTGTAAATATAAACGAAACTTGAAGGCGGAGGAAAGTCCCCCCTATAATGCAATGAAAAATCGCATGAAAATGCAAGCCGCAAGAAAATGCATTATATACAAAAAATACTTACATATAGCTATATACATACATACATAAATTTAAATGCATAATTATTATCAATTGGGTTTAGCGACTATTCCGTAGTTAAACAAGTTGAAAAACTACATTGCCCCAATTCTCACAGCTTCAAAAATGCTAATCTAGATTTTTACTAGAGCAACACAAATTCAGACACAGAGACACACACACAGGCAGACACACATAGACAAACAGGCACACACACCCACACATACACTCATCCACACTCTTTCTATATGTATTTACGATCTTGTATGAATCGATCTAGTCAAATTCAAGTTAATTATTGCATAAAACTTTAAACAAACATTAAAAAAAAAAACCAACTTAATACAGAGTCAAACTATTAAGATAATAAAAAATAATTATTATTATGTATTATGAATTATTATCATTACAATTATGATGCATTATGATTTTGTATTGAAAATACGAACACGTATTTAAACTAATTATATAAAAACAAATTATTATTATTATTATTCTATGCTATTATACAAAACGTTTTAGACTATATACACAATATTTAAATAAAAATAATAATAATAATAAAAAAAAAACTTAGTGCAAAAAACTGATTTTGGCAAAATTATGCAAATTATATATCAAAAAAGAATGAGAAAACGAAAACATAAACACAAATATACCAAAACTTAAATTATCATACATATTATTATTTCTAATACGTAACACGGTGAACTAAACCAAGAAGAAGCAGAACAAATAAAAGCGATAAACAAATTGAGAATTACAAAATACCAAAGAAAACTTGTTTTATTTTCATTAATTATTTTTCAAGTGAGATGATGTGGCTTGTGAATTGGCAGAGCTTTGAGCTAACTGAACGGACCTACAGAACTATGGACAGAAAATTTGGCACATTTAACCCATATCACTTTCTATATCCAAATTTGTTATGATTTCATCGCATTTATAAACTAGAAAACAAAAAGAAAAACATAATAAGGGCTGTGACTTGAACGTTAAAGTAAAAAAACAAAAAAACAAAACAAAAATCAAATAAATTGTTTGACTTTTTTGTTTATCCTTAGTTCATAAATCAGCTAGTTTTGCTTAAAATAACGAAATATTACAAAATATTACGTTTTAGTTTTCAAAAGCGGTGATAACAAGCAACCAAAAAGCCAAATCAAAATTAATGCATACAAGATACATAAAAAGTAAAAATAAAAATAAAAACAAAATAATTAATAACAAATAAATAATTATTGCTAATATTGAGAGGTTATTTTAAATTCGAAATGAAATGTGATGCAAAACTTTAAAAAAAGAAAAACATATGTCGAATTGAATGAATTAATGAAACTAAACGAAGTAAAAAAAAACAATTGTACCTTGAGCATAGAGCGTAAAAATTGGAATCACAGAAACCAAGAAATACTGGGCAAACTCAATATAAGGATTCGCCCGGTTTCGTCCAATTTGTTGTAATGAGGGCAGCCACGAGAGATTTCAAATTGGCACTTGCATTTGCAAATTTTGCCAAAATACAGTTTACTGCTCAATTTTCCTAATAATTTTGTTACAAAACAATCTACAGCGCGTTCTTACACATTAATAAACTTAATATACAAAGCACATCATATCAAAAACAACGCGTATATCGTAGATCTTTAAATATGTATGGATTTTTTTTTCTTAAAGGAAGGATCATGTTCTCAATCTAAAATAACGCTAGCGCTCTTCTCGGCGCTTCTCAAAGATGCTACTTATATAGTAACATACTTCTGTGCAATTAATAACCTACTGAAGCTGTTGGGTTCCACAAAATTCGTTCGCATATCGCATAGTTAAATTTTATTTGCTTACTTTGTCTTAATTTCGTCATTTACATTAAATTTACTAAAAACAAAATTTACCTTAATATTAAGCATTGTATATTTACTAAAAGAAAATGAAGTCTCTTATCGATGATCGTTCCTTAAACTTAAATCATAAGATATGAATACTTACTTATAGTGGCTACATACACTTAGTCCTATACATAAAGTATTTTTATTATGAGGGCATTCTTATAGAATGTTTATTATTTATAGAAAATAACTAAAATCAACTTACTAACTTATTAATTAATTAATCTATGCTAGTTAATGACAAGGCTAGACAAAGTAGTGAAAGAAGCTTATAACACTTATACAACAACAACAACAAAAACAACAAGAACAACAACAACCAAAAACACATGAGTCCAAGTTTAGAACTTAATAATCAAAAATATATTTAGATACACTTTTCTGCAGGTATTTAACTAAAAGAAATTATACTAAAAATTACAGTACGATAAATAATAAACGATAAACAATTAAATATAGAACTAGAGCAAAGCACATTAAAATGACCCCACCATAACCATGGACTACTAAATTTCATACACTAGTTTTTTATACAAAAAACCAAGCAACTAATACAACAACAGCAACAACAACAACAACAACACAATTAGAGACACACATACATAGTTAAACGGGCCCAATTAGAAGGGAGGGTGCATATCTTTTTCGCTAGGCCTAGAACATTTTGCCTTGATAGCATTTGGGTTTGTTTAAATCAAAACACGAATAACTTATAGGATACAGGGTAAAACATGCAATTAACAATTATAATAATAATGATAATAATAATAATAATTATGATTCATAATACAAAATAATAATTTCTAATATATAACATTATTATCTTATGTTACATTTCCCTCAAGCTTTTGCACTAAGTACGTTTCTTTTTAGTTTTAGCTTGATAACATTAAAGCTTTGCATACATATAGAATTTGCATAAATATATATATATATATATATATATAGGTCTTTAGAGCAACAAATGGGCATAGTCGGGACAGAAGTGCAGTAGTAGGAAAGTATATATTTAAATATATGTATGTATATACACGGATACATATACATAGGTATATGTATAGGAACAGGAGAACAACAAAACAAGTTGATAAAAAACAAACAGCAACAATAATTGGCGGCGCTTGTAGGAAAGCTCAGAAAGTGCATTTAATAAATATGAATAAATATTAATGAAAACGAAAACCAAACAAAAGTTTTTAAACAAACAAAAAATTTAAAAAGTAAAGACATCTTGTCATATTTATATAGGCGATGAATTTCATATATGTATGTATATATATATATACATTAATAAATATATGTATGTATAAAATATATATATATTATGACAATTATTATTATTACTATTAACCAAAGCAAAGATTTATTAGCGAGCTAAGGTCAACAAGCATTATAAACCAATTTTGCAATTATACAAGTGAATGAGGTGAGGAAATGCAACTGAAGAAAATGCCATGAAATGAAACTTAATTGAAATGAAATGAAAAGGCCTCAAGTTATTTTTTGTAGATAAAAATGTTATCTTTTAGAACTTAGCCAAATATTAGATACTGATACAGATGCAAGATGCAGGTGCTAAATGCACAGTTGAGAGCAGGCTAACTGAAATAAATAAAAAGGTCAAAGCGAATTTATATTGTATATAGGTAAACACAAAGCCCAATGATACTTACCTAAGAGGGCTTAATAATATTACAAATTATAAATTATTTAATGATAGTTGCCAGTCTAGAATTTAGCCTACACAACCCACACCTTTGAGTTGCCATCTTAAAGTGCAGCCTCAGTTGCGTTCGATAACTATATCCGCATATAGCAGCTTATTCTTGAACACAATATTTTTTATTTCTGTTTAGAAATCCGTCCGTAATTAGCATTATGCACTATCGCACACGCACACACACACTCACACGCACACACACACACATACACTACCTAAGCAAATTGAATTACTTGAATTGAATTGAACTCTAAGTTACAAAGAAGAATATGTATTTTGAGGATTGTAGGATTATTTAATATGAAATCCACATACTGATACCTCTTTCTATCGTAAATGCTTAATACATTATTTTAATTTAGCATAGGATTTTGTGCAACTAACACACACAACATGCAACTAATTATGCATAAATAATATTGAATAACAGCAGATAGGGTATTATTTGACATTTTTGAAGAGCACCTTTAACGAAAACAATAAGAAAATTAGCAGCAAAGAGAACTTAACAATAAATGCAGTTAAATGCCATATATAAATAAGAAAAGAATATACCCAATTTTGCACATACAATTTGTAGCAAAATGTAAATTTGACAAATTGAATTTGAAAATTTCATTCCTTCAAAAAAGTCTGCAGTGAAATGAAAGAAAGCTTGCCCCTATTACAAAATGAAATGATTCTTATATTTTGAACATGCTCTAAAATAAACAAAAACCTATAAATTAACTCAACAAAAATTAAATATTAAATGTAAAATGGTTTCAAAATCAAAAAATAAAAAAACACATAAAAAACAAACAAGTGACATTAAAAAAAAAGTATAGTAAAAAGAAAAGAATACAATTCCAAAACATTTACATCAAAGTTCAAATATTTTAAAGTTGTTTACATAATTCTGCGCAAGCTTTTTTAATATGTACTTACGTATTTTTAGAGCACAATCTTTTTAGGCATTTGCTAGCAATATTTAATAATACTAAATTATTGCAATATATTTTCAAATCGGCCAAAGCGAGAATTCAAAATTGATTGTGCACACTCTGAAAAGCAACTTTCTTAAGTTTGATATTTGAGAAATCAACTTAATTCAAGATTCTTAGAGCACAACTACACGAAATGCACCAGGTATCCAATCTGTATTCACAAATACATACGAATATTTCTAACGACAATTTTTGAGACACATCCATTAACAGTTGATACTAACTTAATATGCACACAGCTACATACAAAATATACACATATACATGCATACATACAAGTACTTACTTATATTACAAAATTTATATTTATACATACATACAAACTACATGCATACATATAAAGCGCAGATGCAAAAAATAAAAACTAATAGGCAATGTAGTTGAAAAGAATGGAAATACTTACGAGTACATAGAGAAAACTAAAAGGAAACACACGTATTGAACAATTAAATAAAATAATTTAAAATAGCAAAGAAAAGGTCTTTATATTAACTATATATATATATATACACATATATATATATATAAATATATACTACATATATACTATACATATGTGTATATTAAATACAATTTATAAATAATAACAACTCAATGGCGAAGTGTGTAAAATTTGTGCATTCGTTCATGAAAACAAAAGGATGAAAGTAAACACCGAAAAACATTACAAATATATCTATATATACTACATATAGATATATATATATATATATATATATATATATACATATATATATATGCATATATATATATATATATGTTTATATTTACATTCAATTTAATTTTTCGCCCAAGGTCGCGAAAAATTGTTGAAGCCACACATTAAAAGCTATCAAATGAACTATTAATTAATTATGAAAGCAAACAAATTAAAACAAGCAAACTATGCAAATATTTTAATACTTAACAGGCGTAAAAAATGCATTACCAAATCTAGTTTAAACATTATTTATGACATACAAAAACATACATAGATAAACCCAACATATTTATAAGTAACTATATAACAAACAAAAACAATAACAAGTATTAGAGCCAGCAAAAGAACTACATATAAACATAATTTGCGCCTTTTTATCAAATTATTGTTTTTTATACCTATTTTCCGTTCTTATCAATGATAACACAGTCTACGAACGACAAGCAACAGCAGTTAGGCCAACCGCGCGGCAAAAGCTAACAATAACATAATTAAAAAAAAAAATATATATATACATATATATATATATACATAATATAATATAAATATCAAGAAAGTCTAGGCTAAATTTTGACAGTTTTAAAATGGCGAACATGTAAACTTTGTTTCGTTGGCCAAACTGGGCGTCGTATATGGGCGAAACATTATGGTACAGGTCGAACAGAAAATTGAGAATGGAGCAAAGCAAAAGAGAAATTATAAATGAGCAAGTAAACGAGTTATAATTACAACAAATAAATTATTATTAATAAATAATTATTATACATGACAACTTATGCAAATGTAATAAGTAAAAAAAAAAAAGAAATTAAACAACAAAAAAAAACTGGCAAGTTTAAACAAAAAAATTGAGAAAAAAACCAAATGGTAAAATTACAAAAATGCAGAAAAAATATATATTATATATACTTTATAGACATTTAAACATGAAAACAAAAGGCAAAGAACAAACTAAAAAATAAAGTTACAAATAATAAACTTTTACCATAAAAATAAAAATGTAATTTTCTTTTAACTTGGATGGATTTCAGATTTGACATTAAACACAAAATGCCACCTTCATCCACATATCCGGCAACTTTTTCATTGTTTCTTAGCAACAGCTGTCAAACGTAAGTAAAATGCACACATCTGGCAACACCATATTCGCGCGGTTGCCTCGTTACGCTACGCAGTGTAACAAGTTATTTAGCTTTGGTAAATAAAAGGTTAGTTTTTTAGCTTTAGAAGCTCGGAATGACTGACCAACTGGACCAACTGGCCACCGCCGAGCTGCAGCGTCTGCAGCGCCAGCACCGTTCCCTACAGCTGGACCTGCGTGGGCTGCTAGAGGAGAAAACAAAACGACTGAAAAAGCAAAATCACATGATTAACGTTCTGCAGGTGGAATATGACAAACTTAAGGACGAAATCAAAACCCTGGAGGGCGGCACTCATGCACGTAAGAATACCAACAAAGAGAGACTCTTGGGAACCTTGCAAAATCAACAGTCCGAACTGCAACGGGTATACCAAGGCGAACGCACCAATTTGTGGGAGCTCGAGGGACACATACGGAAAATGGAAAAAGAAATAGATGCATTGCGTCGCAATGAAGTGCCCGACAATTGCTACAAGGAAACAATTTGTAAGGTGCAAAAGAGCGTAGTCAAACTAGAGAATCGCCTCGACGTGGTCAACAAAAAGTGTAGCGATGTTCTAACGGAGAACGGCAAAATGCGTGACGCAATAAACCATATGCTTCAAGATCGGTAAGTGCGTACCAAATTTGACATTAAAGCTAGGGGTAACGTCACGTTTTTATAAACAAAAAATTCCCTGCACGGAGATGTGTCGTTTATAAAGCGCCGAAGTTATGTCGCTTCAAACCGGTTCAGTCCGATCCGGTTGTAAATTAAAAACTTGATGATTTTTTTTAATATCTCGGGCAAATAATGTCAGATTTTTGAATGATACGCCATTTTGGACTCGTAAGGATCAGCGCTATCGATTGGCATTCAAAAAAATAAAATACCAACTTTTGACCGAATTCGACAAAAAAGCAAGGAGTCGTCTCGAATATCAAAATTTTTTTGATGAGTTTTTTTAAATATCTCGGGTAAATAACATCAGATTTGTGAAAGTAATACCTATTTAAATTCGTTCGGATCCCTGTTATCAATTGGCATTCAAACAAATTAAATATCGATGCCTCTAAAAAAGTTGTTAACCAAAAAACGATTCGTTTGTAAAGTGAATCCCTTTTGATGATTTTTTTTAATATCTCGGGCAAATAATGTCCGATTTTTGAATGATACGCCATTTTAGACTCTTAAGGATCAGTACTATCGATTGGCATCAAAAAAATAAAAATCAAATATTTGACCAAAATCATCAAAATGGCAAGGGGTTACATCACATTTTTTCTCAAAATCGGGGTCGGATCGAAAATCGAAACTTTTTTGATGATTTTTATTGAATTTCTCTGGTAAATGCTGTCAGATTTTGAAATGTTATACCTTTTTGAATTTGTAGGGATCCCTACTATCATTCTGCATTCAAACATTTTTAAAATCGATGGGTTAAAAAAAGTGGTTGACCAAAAACCGATTTGTTTGTAAAGTCAACCTTTTTTTATGCTTTTCTGGTATATCTCGGCCAAAGAATGTCCGATTTGGGTATTTTATACCAGTTTAGACTCGTAAGGATAAGTACTATCGATTGGCATCAAAAAAATAAAAATCTAATTTTTGACCAAAATCATCAAAATGGCAAGGGGTTACATCACGTTTTTTCTCAAATTCGGGGTCGGATCGTACTATCGATTGGCATCAAAAAAATAAAAATCTAATTTTTGACCAAAATCATCAAAATGGCAAGGGGTTACATCACATTTTTTCTCAAAATCGGGGTCGTTTCGAAAATCAAAACCTTTTCTTATGCTTTTTTTTTGAATATCTCGAGTAAATATTGTCTGATTTTGAAATATTAAACCTATTTGAATTCGTACGGATCCCTACTATCAATTGGCATTCAAACATTTTAAATATCGATGGGTTAAAAAAAGTTGTTGACCAAAAACCGATTCGTTTGTAAAGTCAACCTTTTTTGATGATTTTTTTGAATATCTCGGCCAAATAGTGTTCGATTTGGGAATTTTATACCATTTTAGACTCGTAAGGATCCGTACTATCGATTGGCATCAAAAAAATAAAAATCTAATTTTTGACCAAAATCATCAAAATGGCAAGGGGTTACATCACGTTTTTTCTCAAATTCGGGGTCGGATCGTACTATCGATTGGCATCAAAAAAATAAAAATCTAATTTTTGACCAAAATCATCAAAATGGCAAGGGGTTACATCACATTTTTTCTCAAAATCGGGGTCGTTTCGAAAATCAAAACCTTTTCTTATGCTTTTTTTTTGAATATCTCGAGTAAATATTGTCTGATTTTGAAATATTAAACCTATTTGAATTCGTACGGATCCCTACTATCAATTGGCATTCAAACATTTTAAATATCGATGGGTTAAAAAAAGTTGTTGACCAAAAACCGATTCGTTTGTAAAGTCAACCTTTTTTGATGATTTTTTTGAATATCTCGGCCAAATAGTGTTCGATTTGGGAATTTTATACCATTTTAGACTCGTAAGGATCCGTACTCTCAATTGGCATCAAAAAAATAAAAATCTAATTTTTGACCAAAATCATCAAAATGGCAAGGGGTTACATCACATTTTTTCTCAAATTCGGGGTCGGATCGAAAATCGAAACTTTTTTGATGATTTTTATTGAATTTCTCGGGTAAATGCTGTCAGATTTTGAAATGTTATACCTTTTTGAATTCGTAGGGATCCCAACTATCAATTTGCATTCAAACATTTTTAAAATCGATGGGTTAAAAAGTGTGGTTGACCAAAAACCGATTCGTTTGTAAAGTCAACCTTTTTTGATGATTTTTTTGAATATCTCGGCCAAATAGTGTTCGATTTGGGAATTTTATACCATTTTAGACTCGTAAGGATCCGTACTATCGATTGGCATCAAAAAAATAAAAATCTAATTTTTGACCAAAATCATCAAAATGGCAAGGGGTTACATCACATTTTTTCTCAAATTCGGGGTCGGATCGAAAATCGAAACTTTTTTGATGATTTTTATTGAATTTCTCGGGTAAATGCTGTCAGATTTTGAAATGTTATACCTTTTTGAATTTGTAGGGATCCCTACTATCAATCTGCATTCAAACATTTTTAAAATCGATGGGTTAAAAAAAGTGGTTGACCAAAAACCGATTCGTTTGTAAAGTCAACCTTTTTTGATGATTTTTTTGAATATCTCGGCCAAATAGTGTTCGATTTGGGAATTTTATACCATTTTAGACTCGTAAGGATCCGTACTATCGACTGGCATCAAAAAAATAAAAATCTAATTTTTGACCAAAATCATTAAAATGGCAAGGGGTTACATCACGTTTTTTCTCAAATTCGGGGTCGGATCGAAAATCGAAACTTTTTTGATGATTTTTATTGAATTTCTCGGGTAAATGCTGTCAGATTTTGAAATGTTATACCTTTTTTGAATTTGTAGGGATCCCTACTATCAATCTGCATTCAAACATTTTTAAAATCAATGGGTTAAAAAAAAGTGGTTGACCAAAAACAGATTCGCTTGTAAAGTCAACCTTTTTTGATGCTTTTTTTGAATATATCGGGTAAATATTGTTTGATTTTGAAATATTAAACCTTTTTGAACTCGTACGGATCCCTACTATCAATTGGCATTCAAACATTTTTAAAATCGATGGGTTAAAAAAAGTGGTTGACCAAAAACCGATTCGTTTGTAAAGTCAACCTTTTTTGATGATTTTTTTGAATATCTCGGCCAAATAGTGTTTGATTTGGGAATTTTATACCATTTTAGACTCGTAAGGATCCGTACTATCGATTGGCATCAAAAAAATAAAAATCTAATTTTTGACCAAAATCATCAAAATGGCAAGGGGTTACATCACGTTTTTTCTCAAATTCGGGGTCGGATCGAAAATCAAAACCTTTTCTTATGCTTTTTTTTTGAATATCTCGAGTAAATATTGTCTGATTTTGAAATATTAAACCTATTTGAATTCGTACGGATCCCTACTATCAATTGGCATTCAAACATTTTAAATATCGATGGGTTAAAAAAAGTGGTTGACCAAAAACCGATTCGCTTGTAAAGTCAACCTTTTTTGATGATTTTTTTGAATATCTCGGCCAAATAGTGTTTGATTTGGGAATTTTATACCATTTTAGACTCGTAAGGATCCGTACTACCGATTGGCATCAAAAAAATAAAAATCTAATTTTTGACCAAAATCATCAAAATGGCAAGGGGTTACATCACGTTTTTCTCAAATTCGGGGTCGGATCGAAAATCGAAACTTTTTTGATGATTTTTATTGAATTTCTCGGGTAAATGCTGTCAGATTTTGAAATGTTATACCTTTTTGAATTTGTAGGGATCCCTACTATCAATCTGCATTCAAACATTTTAAAAATCGATGGGTTAAAAATAGTGGTTGACCAAAAACCGATTCGTTTGTAATGTCAACCTTTTTTGATGATTTTTTTGAATATCTTGGCCAAATAGTGTTCGATTTGGGAATTTTATACCATTTTAGACTCGTAAGGATCCGTACTATCGATTGGCTTTGAAATAATAAAAATCTAATTTTTGACCAAAATCATCAAAATGGCAAGGGGTTACATCACATTTTTTCTCAAATTCGGGGTCGGATCGAAAATCGAAACATTTTTGATGATTTTTATTGAATTTCTCGGGTAAATGCTGTCAGATTTTGAAATGTTATACCTTTTTGAATTCGTAGGGATCCCTACTATCAATCTGCATTCAAACATTTTTAAAATCGATGGGTTAAAAAAAGTGGTTGACCAAAAACCGATTCGTTTGTAAAGTCAACCTTTTTTGATGATTTTTTTGAATATCTCGGCCAAATAGTGTTCGATTTGGGAATTTTATACCATTTGAGACTCGTAAGGATCCGTACTATCGATTGGCATCAAAAAAATAAAAATCTAATTTTTGACCAAAATCATCAAAATGGCAAGGGGTTACATCACGTTTTTTCTCAAATTCGGGGTCGGATCGAAAATCGAAACTTTTTTGATGATTTTTATTGAATTTCTCGGGTAAATGCTGTCAGATTTTGAAATGTTATACCTTTTTGAATTTGTAGGGATCCCTACTATCAATCTGCATTCAAACATTTTTAAAATCGATGGGTTAAAAAAAGTGGTTGACCAAAAACCGATTCGCTTGTAAAGTCAACCTTTTTTGATGATTATTTTGAATATCTCGGCCAAATAGTGTTTGATTTGGGAATTTTATACCATTTTAGACTCGTAAGGATCCGTACTACCGATTGGCATCAAAAAAATAAAAATCTAATTTTTGACCAAAATCATCAAAATGGCAAGGGGTTACATCACATTTTTTCTCAAATTCGGGGTCGGATCGAAAATCGGAACTTTTTTGATGATTTTTATTGAATTTCTCGGGTAAATGCTGTCAGATTTTGAAATGTTATACCTTTTTGAATTTGTAGGGATCCCTACTATCAATCTGCATTCAAACATTTTTAAAATCGATGGGTTAAAAAAAGTGGTTGACCAAAAACCGATTCGCTTGTAAAGTCAACCTTTTTTTTATGATTTTTTTGAATATCTCGGCCAAATAGTGTTCGATTTGGGAATTTTATACCATTTTA